TCAAGGTACAATAACAGATGGCCGTTGCTATAGCTCAGAAGGAAGCCATGTCTACACTAGGTCAAAGCACCTAAGAAAGGGAAGGGGACAGCGGTTCCTTGTGATGATAGTAGCTAAAATAGATCAGTTTCCCAAAAAATTTGAAAAGTGCCTGAGTGAGCATATGCAAACCCCTCCCATTGCCTTGGGAGGCACCTTCTTCCTCTGCTCCCAGACTGAGATTTCAGTGCAGGTCTGAGAAAGCCTGAATGCTGTGACATTCCAACTAGTCTCAGCCCTTTGCATAGCCTTGGATAATTTTTTTCCCTTGGGAGAACAGAGAAGTCTTCCAGTTGCCTAGATGCCAAGCTCTCGAGGCTGGAGCAGATTTATGTCCAAGACTCATAAACAGGCTTCTTCAGGAGTTCCAGTAAAAGATGCTAAGATGATGATGAGCCCTTTCTTCCATCTTTAGGCCTGCCCTCCTTTCTGCCCTCCTTCGCATGGTCCTCCCCATGTTCCTTATTGTTGGGAGTGTCCTCTACTGCCTTTTTGTGTTGTCCTTTTCTGAGTCTCATCATCTTCAACTAAGTCCTCCCAGAGCTTTCTATGCATGCTTCATTTTCCCTGTGATTCCCCTCTCCCTTCTTCCTCTCCTTCCTCCTCATCCATATCTTTCCTCTCCTTCCTCCTCATCCATATCTTTCCTCTCCCTCTTCCTCTCCTTCTCTCTGTCCTCTCTTTATATCAGAATCTCTGCCTCTCTCTCACTTACTCCCTTCTCACTCTCTTGCTCCTCCCCCTCCCCCACCCCTCCCACGCCACCACCAGCACCAGCACCAGCACCACCACCCCGCTCTGTCTCTTTGTCACTTCCCTTTCCTCTGATTCTCTGTCTATTCCAAGTACCTTCCATAACTTTGAAAAGCTTTTGTGGACCCTTTCCCTTCATGATGCTGACCAGGGCACAAGGCCAGAACAGTGGTAACTTGTCCAAGAGTTCCAGGTCACACACAGGTAGTGCTCTTGAAGGGCAGGTCCTTTGGTATTAATGACTTCTACATAACTTTGATTTACTATAAAGAATAAAGCAAAGAACTTGTCCTCAAACAAACCCTTTCTCTGGGTTTTATGGACATAAAGCCATCGTTGCAGATAAAAGATCACATGCAAGTAATAAAACAGATGATGTTTACTATGGTGAATGTGCCAGATCAGAGGAGGGAGAGCCTAGGGCCACAGAATTCTTTGCAGAAGAGCAGGCTGGGCTGTCAATGGAGGGAGAGTGAGCTTACAGAACCAGGAGAGAAAGAGAACATTTTAAAAATAGCGAGTGGAGCAAAGCCAGAACCTGGAACACATGCCAAAAGGGTCTAAGGAGAGTGAGGAGACCATCTGATCCAGATACTGATAGTCAGCCAGGACAGGTAGGTGGCGGGGACAGAGGCCTGTCTCATTATGCACAAGTTGCCATACTAAATACCATGACACAGGCAGCTTAAACAGTAGACATGCTATTTCTCACAATGTGGAAGGTTGACATGTCCAAGGTTAACGTACCAGCAGGATTTGATTTCTTGTAAAAAACTGCCTTCCTGACTTGCAGGCCACTGTTGTTTGACCTTGCTTTCAAGGGGCAGAGAGAAAACAAAGTCTCTTTTGTCTCTTTTAATAAGGTCATTAATCTTTTTGGATTAGAGCCCCATCCTTATCATTGCCAATGAACCTTAATTACCTCTTTAAAGGCATTAAGTACAGTCACAATGGAGTTAGGGCTAAAATACGTGAAGTTGGGGAAACGTAACGTTCAATTCGCAGCAGAGACCCATCACCTCACAAAGTTAAGGAGTTGAGGTTACAAAGAGAGTTCAGCCCATAAACTGCTTGCAGAGCAGACCCAAGGCCTGGGTTTGACTTCAAGAGCCCAAAAGAAAAAGGCAGATAGGGTGCTGCACATTGTAATTCACGTTCAGGAGAACTGAATGCAGGCACTCTTTGGGGCTCACTGGCCATCCAACCTAGCCAAATTGTGAAATTCCAAACCAAGAGAGAGACCCTAACTCAGAAATCAAGGTAGATGGCACCCGAGTACCAATGCCTCATGCTGACCTCTGGTCTCCACACAACTGTATACACACCCCCACATGCACTCACTCCTGTGAATGCGCTCCCCTCACACACACACCTTCTGGGGACACTCAGATCTCACCTCTAGCCTATACCCAAGAGGAAGATTTCTCACTACCTGGAATTTCCTTGGATCTCTTGAGGTTAAAAATGTAGGCAGTCCAGGTCCTGTGTGGCTGAAGCACCCTGGTCTAGTTGATGAGAACATCAAGAGCAAAACCCAGCCTGCACTGAGGCCTCTAAAAGTTATCTCACTGGGGATGAGGGCTCAGCTGAGTGTGATTTTCTAGCCCTCCCAATAACTAACACTGCACAATAACTAACTCTGTCCCACCATAATGACCTTAGTCCTTTCAGGAGAGCAGTGCTCCAAGACCTAACTGCTATCTGATGCCCGGCCTCCTACTCCTGCCATACGGGTAGTTAAATTTCAACATGGACTTTAGAGAGAGCATTGCAACCATGGCACTAAGAAAACAGTCTTTACGACCTGCCTCACCTGAATGTACCAGGCTCTGCTGACTCCTCATGGGAGACCTTGCCTTGGAGGAGGTGGGAATGTGGGGTGGGTTAGGGGAAAGGCGGGGAGGTTGGGGGAGAAGGGAAGACAGGGAAATCTGTGGTTGGTATATAAAGTGAATATAAAATCTCTTAATAAAAAAAACAGTCTTAATCTGAGATACCACCTTACACCTGTCAGAATGGCTACG